TTTAAGTCCTGCGTACGCTGCTCAAGCCTTGGAAATGTAAACGGTTATCTCCTTGGATGCTCTACTGTCGTTGGTCACAAAGCTACCTAAGTGTGAGAAGCAGTCAACTTCAGCTAATTCCTGACCGTTCAGTTACAGAGCAGAACTCGGTGACACCCAGTCTTGTAGCATCCCTTTGCACTTTGAAGGTGCAAAGCACATACTGAACGGAATGATAGAACTTGCTGATCTATCAAGTGCTCATTGCGCATCCTCCATAGATTCGAACAATTAAAGATGTCGTCAGCTTACTCCAAATCGCACAGCGTTTCTCCGGTTTCCCGTTGGATGCCAACATTGTGGAGACCACTTAGAGTGTTATCCGGCATTCCGTCTGACGAAATGGAACAGGAATCGCGAAAGAGGGCACCCTTGACGAACACATACTCAGCCCGCCTAGACCATTACGCTACCAGAAGTATGTGAGTAGAGTGAACTCAATATGTTCACATACTACTGCGGCATTCCTTTGCGAAGAAGCGAACCCACAAGGGATTCACGNTCCTGACCGTTCAGTTACAGAGCAGAACTCGGTGACACCCAGTCTTGTAGCATCCCTTTGCACTTTGACGGTGCAAAGCACGTACTGAACGGAATGATAGAACTTGCTGATCTATCAAGTGCTCGTTGCGCATTCTCCATAGATTCGAACAGGTAAAGATGTCGTTAGCTTACTCCAAATCGCACAGCGTTTCTCCGGTTTCCCGTTGAATGCCAACATTGTGGAGACCACTTAGAGTGTTATCCGGCATTCCGTCTGTGACGAAATGGAACAGGAATGGCGAAAGAGGGCACCATTGACGAACACATACTCAGCTCGCCTAGACCCTTACGCTACCAAAAGTATGTGAGTAGAGTGAACTCAATATGTTCACATACTACTGCGGCATTCCTCTACGAAGAAGCGAACCCATAAGAGATTCGCGGTCAACTGGGTCGAAGGTTCCTTTTAGATCAAGTGAAGATTTGATCGATACAACCGCGACCTGGTCGAAATCCTGCTTGTTGTTCGCGGAAGTTTGTCTCTGTAAACGGTGTCAGACGTCGAAGTATGGTGGAGGCTAGTAACTTGGTGACGATTGGGATCAAGCTTATTCCACGGTGGTTTGCGCAGTCGTTGCGAGATCCCTTCATGAAAATGGGAACAATCAATGATTCGCTCCAGGATGATGGAATGCGCTCATGTGACCAGATGTTACGCATTAGATCACTAATGGAGTCTACGAGGTCATTGCCTTCCAACTTGAATAGAGTGGGGGAAGCCCGTCCGGTCTTGCTGTTTTTCCTTTCTTCAGAACTTGGATGCAAGATCAAACTTCTGCTGCAGTAGGAAGTTCAGATGACTACCCACGGACCCTCAGCTACACCCTAGGAGATAGTCTAGTTAGCGCCTGGTCAGCTGAACTATTGGGTAAAGCCCTCCGCCCATCGGTCAAGCGGTTTTCCCTATTGTGAATGGCTTGTCCACTTTTGTCGCAGATTGTTTCCTTAGCTGTGGTTCGCCGATCTCCAGTGTTGCGTATCAGTTGGAACAGTGTTTGGCTATTCCCTGATGCAGCTGCGACTTCCATTTCACTAGCTATCGTTGCCCACCAGTTCTCACGAGCTGCTCTTCTTGAGTTGCGTTGCAGACGCCAGCTGACTCTGCGTTGATCGCGGTCGGTCGGGATTTGCCGCTTTTTCTCCATCAGTGCTACTGACTGATCAGATATCCAATACCTCGGGCAGGCTACCGCTTCAGATCCACAAGCATCATTCGGTGCGAAGTACACTGCTTGTCTGATCGGATCTCACAGTTCATCTACACTACCGCCCCGCAGCGTTTAGCTCTTGCCCTACTTATGGTTGAAAACGAGCACGAACGGCTGGGTCAGATAAACGAAGTCCTGCCAATCGAGTTTGGTGGGGTTTTCGGCGTCCAGTTTGTTGGAGAGTGAACTGACGACAATGAAGGTGCAAACGCACATGGAGAAAGTATACACCGCTGCAGTGAGTATGCTGGGTGCTATGCATCAGTAGTTTGCTGGCCTGTTGATCACAACTTTGAGAAAGGTATATACTTTCTATCTTCCCTCACGCCTTGAATACGGCTAGCCGAATATTTATCCATGCATTCCTACCTTAATGGTCTAGTTGGAACATTTGGAACGTTACATCACGCGACTAGTCTTGGGACTTTGTGAGAACAGATCCGAAGGTCGGCTCCAAGTTTTGAAACTGTTCTGTTTTGTTACAGGAGTCTCTGCAGGGATTCTTCGTGGTGCTTATGGACCAGAGATACGACTGAGTTTCCAATACTCCTCCTCCGAAAGGGTCGAGAGTGGATATCTCGAATTGCGGCTGGTCACCCTTGCACCTCACGAAACGCTCCCACACGACCGAACATCTCAAATAGCCTCTGCTGAGGAAGCCCTACTCACAGCCTTTTCGTGGCGGACGTGTTTTCTCACCGAAGTGCGAAGACGAAAAGTCAATATCCGGGGCTATAACTGAGCTGGTGAACCGCTAGCAATTCACCTGCAACAGCTGACTAAAAACCTTGATTTCAAACCAACAAAGAAAAGACGTACGAACCACAGATTCCTGGTTGTGGTAGTGGTCATGGGATCGACTGAGCGTCGAGTTGCATTGGACACCTAGGATATTTAACCCTGTCCAAAGGGCGTATTATCGGATGAACTGGATACCGACCCCCAATGGATTGCGGTTTTCACACAGCCTCACTGCCTTGCGGGTTAGACTTTTGAGTAAAAGGCTTCGGTGAGGGTTCCCAAAGAAAATTCCTTTCTTCAGTGTGGTGCTGTCCCGTCCACGTTGCGCTTGTCTCATTGGGTGCATGAGGCTAAGGGCTGATCCCATAAACGGACCGATAATCAACGCACCAGCGAACAACAAGCTTAACCGAAATTCAAAGGCCCGGCGTGATAGGTCTCCAGAAGCTCCCACACGGGTGCTTCGTTCACGCTCCGGCGTTGAATTTACGCCCCACCGCCTTGTGGGTCAGACTGCTAAGTCAAAGGCTCCGGTTAGGGTTCCCAAAGAAAAGTCCTTTCTTCAGTGTGGGCTGCCACGAAGTGTTGTGCCCTCAAGTCTTGGGCACCCATTTGTAAAGACCTCTTTCCCATCTGTCTAGTTCTTCCTCTCAATCCCGATTAATCCCAGATGCCTCGTGTTTACGCCACCCACCGTATATGACTCAGCGTTTTACCAGTAAGGCCAAACAATCAGAAGTTACAGGATTTTTGAAGCCAAAATTCCTTTTTCACTTGGCCGCGTTCAATGTCCGCACACTGTCAGATTAGTCAACAAGCCTACTTAGATAGAACCCCTGAAACTTTCCCTTTAGCTGTATGCTGTGTCTCCGAAACATACACATGACCTTATGTTCTTCTGATCCAACTTTCTCCTCTCGCTTCACCCTTCGTGTGTCAGGCAATGCGGCATCCGACGCTCGCGGTGTTGCTGATGTTGGGATTGCGCTCAGTTCCAAGGCTGGGCTCTCGCGTCACGACTAGATTCCTGTCAGTAGCCGACTGTGCGCTCTGCTTCTCAACGGTTCCGCACGAGTCAAGCGCTACAGAACGAAGCTTCGATGCTTATTCGTCATATCGGTGTATGCACCGACCGATCACATTACACCTGAAGTTCAGGATAAATTCTACAAAGATCTTTCTCTGATAAATTGTTCTATCAATGGACGTCGTAGTAGTCACCGGCGACTTCAATGCACAAGTGGGATACCTGGAGGACTAATAAAGGCTTCTTGGCGGACCACGTGCAATCCCAGCGAACCAGAAAGACAACAGAGATCGCCTATTTCAACTCTGCACTGACCACGGTTTATTCCCCTCAAGCACCAACTTCTCGCACAGGAAACGACACCGCCTTACATGGAAGCTGCCTACCTTTTCACAGCGCCGGACCCAAATCGACCACACCACAATCAGTTACCGTTGGAGGGTGTCAATTCAAGTTTGTCGCCCTCACTGGTCAACACATTCGGATACACACCACGCGTTTCTACGGGCCGAGTTCTCCTTACGCCTGAAAAACAACCGCGATGAAGCAGCCGACAACGGATACCGACGATACAATGCCCGATTGTTGCAAATCGGCTTTCAAAGCNAAGCAAATCAAGTAAGCTATGCAGATATCGATAAAAACAACGTCGGACCCCGCCTCAGGCTCAAAACACAAACGATGGATTTCGTCGACATCAGTTTCCCTGCTGGCCGCCCGCAGAACCCTTCCTCCGGATGCCACATACGGCACAGTGCGCAAATCCCTTAAACGCCTGCTCATCAAGAGTCTGAGGAATAAAAGCGAGAAGTGGTGAGTAGGAAAGTGTGAAGAGATGCAGAATGCTGCGGCTATTGGTAATAGTCGTAACTTGTTCCATCTAATTAGGAATACGGGCCCTAGGAAAATAGGCGTGAGTGAGGTAATTAAGGAATCCGATGGCACACTGATTCACAATCAGCAACGCCGTGTTGGCCGTTGGGCTGAACACTTCAAGGCTCAGTTCAACTGGCCCCCATCGACATCTGAACTTTCACTCTCCGCCTCGACTGGACAAATACTCCCAGTTGATGCTAGTTCTTCATCTGAAATGGAGGTTTCTCGGAAAATAAGATATCTCAAAAGGCATAAGGCCTCTGGCCCAGATGGTCTGTTCCCATCAGCGTTTAAGGATGGAGGCTCAGCGTTAGTCTTGGAGTTGATAAAACTCCTGGGTTCAATATGGAAAGGGAAGAGGTTCCAGCTGAATGGTGTGAGTCGGTGATCATACCGATTTTGAAAAATGATGACACATCCGCTTGTCAAAAGCGCAGGGAAGTTAGTTCAGTCAACATTGCTCCCAACCTTCTCGCTGGGATTATACTGCGTGGATTTTCTGCCGCGCGCTGAGAGTGGACGGTGGCTTGCTTCAGCCCTGATCGAGGTTGTATCGATCACATATTCACTCTTCGCCAAACTCTGGAGCACCGATATTCTTGTCGTAGACCCACGATTTCTGTCTTCCTTGATCTGGCGGCGGGTTTCGATTCAGTCGACCGCTCTATACTCTAGTGCTAGCTTTCCTTGAAAGGTGTGCTCGAGAAGTTTATTTCAAGATTACGATCATTTTTATACTAATAGCCGAAGTCCAGTTCGTGCTTACTGTTCTGTGTCACCGGAGTTCACCACAGAATGTGCTGTCTGCAATTGACAAATGCTAATGATGGATATACTTATGGAGTGACTCGTTGGGAATTTTCGTAAATAAACATCCCTTAGAGTGTGTCTATTATTATATATATTTCACACTTATCTGAGTACAGAGTATCTAGGTAGATAAAAATCTCGAATTAGTGGGCGCTTTTCGTGCAAACGTCCCACTGTGTTAGCAGGGTCCTCTGCTGTTACGTCACTTCTTGTTGTTTGTGTATAATCTTGTATGTTCCTAGGCTTTCTGCTCTACAGAGCTGCCTCAAGTCATCACAAAGGATGCATGTAAAGCAAATGTACCATTTGCTGAAAAATGTCTCCTGTCAAATTTCAGCTACACTGTGACATCTGAAATGTCAAATTTCATTCTCAGACGTTATTTATTTCGACGACCGTCGGTTTTGTGCAACCCATTGAGAAATCTTATTAATACAGGCTGTAAACCGGGAATATCTACAGACCTTTCAGAGGAAGAGCATCTCATTCGATCCAATAGTGCGTTTCTCATTGGTTCGCATTTTCCGCTTTCATTGGTTTTCCAGCATCGAAATTCGCTGCCAAACAAATTTATCCACTTGTTGCAAAAATGGATCGTCAAGGCTTCATGGAACCTTCGCTTATTCAGGAGTTATTCCAAGCTGGAGTGAGTTAAATCTCGAACAGGTTAAGTATCTCAAAAATATCTAGTTGATGGGTATTGAAATCCCGGCTGATTTTGGTGGTAGTAATTTAGACTTCGTTTCCAGTCTCATCGTTGTTGAGGAGATTTCAAAAGTGGACCCAAGTGTGGCTATTTTGGTCGACATTCAAAACACCTTAATTGTCACACTATTGAAGAGACTAGGTACTGTGGATCAGAAGGAACAATGGCTGCCCCGACTTGCTCGAGACACAGTAAATTAAAATTGTTATTTGCAAGCATTCACCCATCACGCGATTTCAGGTAGGTTCGTTCTGTTTGTCAGAAGCGGATTCTGGATCCGATGCATTCTCTCTGCGAACAATAGCTACTAAAGATGGAAGCGATTATGTCATATCTGGTTGCAAAACATGGATCAGCAATTCTCATGAGGCTGGTCTTTTTGTTGTGATGGCAAACGCAAATCCTTCCGCGGTAGGTTAGTTTAATGTTGGGTAGAGTGGTATAAGATACGTCCCCAGCATCACTCGACATTCATTTCTGCAGCGCACCTCTTGTTTCTACCATCATATTATTGCATATACGTCTGGTCTATGTGACAAACAAATCGTAGTACAATAATCTTTATAAAAATGTTCCATGATCTGCATTTGGGCAGAATACTGCCTTTTTGCCTGGGCCAAGGCAGTCTTGCTTCTACACAGACAGTTGTGTNCAGTTGTGTACCCTCAGCCTGATGTTAAGTGGGTGTGGCTGGTAGTGCACCTTCAGGATCTTTGAGTCACAGGTGAAAGCTGTGTAAGTTTTGGAAACCAAAGATAACACCGCAGGGACACGAATATTTGTCAGCTGAGAAGAGCAACTCCGATCGAGCATTACGTACACTCCAGTCATCATTTTCGTTGCTCATATTTTGTAATCCTTTTTCACTGGGCTTTAAGGTTTCATTTATTTGCGTTAGTGGATTGTGTCCGATTAATAAGGATAACGCCTACTCGCACGAGATTCCCTTTCAAAATATTTGACCATTTCCTGTCATTTCGTAGATTACTTCGTGGTTGCATCTTTCATGAGAAAAGTGTATTCCTCATACGGACTCAGCATATAACCCACCAGATAAAAGCCTTAGACATATTGCAACGGTCTAATCTTTGTTAAGAACCATTGCAAGGCATGTCCCTCAAGCCGGGGTTGGATATCTTGGGTCGTGGTGACCACCACTCCCTCGCACTTTACGAAATGCCCCTATACTACCAAGCCTCTGCAATAACCTCTGCTGACTGCCTTCTCGTAGTGGTGTTTGCTCACCAAAGTAAGAAGGCGAAAAGCTGACATCCGGGGCTATAGCCCAGTTGGTGGACCACTGATAGTTCACCTAGAAGAGTTGGCCAAAAACCCTGATTCCAAACCAATCAAGAGGAGGCGTCCGAGCTACACTCACCCACACCTTGCTTGTGGCAGTGGCCACGGCTCGACTGGGAACCAAAGCGTATTGGGCACCTTGGATGTTTGACCCCGTCCAGAGGGTGAATGGTCCGATGAACTGGACATCGGCCCTGTGGTTTTCACACCGCCCCACTGCCTTGGCTAG